ACTGACAAACTTGCAAAAGGTTTGACTCCGAGAACACCTGATCTGTTTTAGAAAGCATTTCAGCTGGAGTTAAAGCTGAGCACCACTAATAAAACCAGGTTGGACAAAAGACAAATATTCACACTTAGATCGCTGGCTCTCTTAATAGCATTTACCAGTCAACTGCTTTTAAAAAAGTTCTTGCAAGAGCACTGAAAGCTTTTCCATGAAGAATGGGTACACTTTGGGACACTGGAGAATTCAGAGCACTTTGCAACTAGAAAACGGGGAGAAGTGACACTCAGCTCTTGCTTCTTGGTTCAAATGCAGCATCTGGCCATTTTCACCATATTACCAAAACACTTTCCTGACAATTAAGACACTCCTATCATCTTGTTGGGTGGGTTGTCTTCTGACCACTCCCAAGAAGAAGAGAAGATTGATATTGGGAGGGAAATGGGAAGAGATCCAAAGATCAATAAAAATACCAACACGTAATAACTTATTTTCAGGAAAGTCTTCTGAAAAATGATTATGGATAAGATATTCTTGTGGCAGGTGAGTGGGTAATAGCATCACTGAACCTGTTAATTCTGTGTTAAAAATTACAGTGGAAGAGTGGAATTAAATCTTTTGCTACTGGCTTTTTTACCTTATTAAGTGTGAACAAGGATTCTTTTACATATGTTTTATTACGTCTCTTTTTATATAGTACACTAAAATATGCCTTGTTTACTTACAGTTTTCTGCCTTCTTTCCCCCTTTGTTGTTTTTGAATTTCTTGCTTGATCTGTGCTGGCTACTTAGTAAAAAAAAGGGCATACTGCATTATTTTGCTTCTAATATATGTTTTTATGATCAAAATATATATTTGCTATCCAAATGATTAAAAAATCATTCAAATCAAAAAGCCAATCAGTTAAACCCTGGACATTTTTACCAGTCTATGTGCCATAGAGCTTCAAGGAACTGTCTTTTTTATTGGACTGTGGTTTAGAGATGAGGTTGAAGCAATTAATTAAATAACTAGAAGGTAAACCTTGAAAGAAACAGAAGCTCAGTCAACATGGAAGGGAAGAGGTCTGCTTTTAAAATAACTCGTTGTTTTTCAAGGAATGCAAATACATTGACCAGTATTACCTGTTATGAAATAATTCATTAAGCCAATTGTCATTTAGATGTATAAATGCTGTAGGCAAAAATACAACTGTCTGTACACATTTTGAGTTACATAATAGTGTGCTAAAAAGCTCTTCATGTGCATTGCTCTAGTGTTAGATCAGATATCACCTCTCTAACATCACTAATGTTTGAATTTTGAGACCAATTGTGAAGTGAGGACACAGTGCATTAGATTGCTGCATTAGCACAGAGGCTTCTATAGTCTATACAATGTAGCATTAAAAGGCCTTTTGTGTTTTCATTTAAAAAAAGTGTATTTTATATAAATTCGGTAGTGCAAAAACTTCCTACACCTTGTTACATTCTTTACATTACATACGTCCCCTGTAAACAGCTTTCCTGTAGGAACTTCCTTTGCAGTTTGTGCGAGATATTATTCCCCCCTACCCCCTACTCCCCACCCAGATTTGGATTAATGTGACTAGTACTCAAAAACTCTTCTAATTACTCTGTGAACATTTTTAAAATATATGCATTTGGTTTCATCATTGAAAAGGAATTAAAACTTTGATTCACGATTCTGCAATCAGTAAAAAATATAAAAAATAGATCAATTGCAAAGCTATCTTCCTGAACATTCTTCATTTTCCAGTGATGCGAGGAGTCAGACCCCTTTCGGGTGCACAAAAGAGTCACTTCTTCCTAAGACTCCTTAAGTTGCACATCTGGCATTAGAGACTGACCCCAGAACTCAGACACATTCTCCTCTTACTGTAGTGAATGGGTAATAAGTCCAAAATGGCTTCAAAGTTTTAGAAAATGAAAAAATATACTTGTGTAATTTTGCATAATTTGCTGCATATCAACCCATGATGAATGACATGATCCCAGCCTGCACTTCTTACACCTGCTGTACTGGATAGAAAGCTAGATCCAGTCCTGCAACTGCTCAAGGAGATGTTTTAATCAGGAATTATGCAAGTTAGATATTCAGAGGTGGATCCTTTATATGCAGTCGAGACTGGAAAAACCACATGTCTAAATCTATGCTTCTGGAAATAGCTTTCAACATAGTCAAAAGTAGATACCAAAATTATACTAAAATCATTTCTAAAACTTAATAATTTTGCTTCCAGTATTTAAAAAAAATAAAGCATCTCTTAACAAAGTGAATTGCATTTCTTTCAAAATAAATGTGCTTCTCTGAAAACATTTAAAATACAGCAGCAAATAAGGGCCTGGTATTTCATCTGATTTATATAGTTAAAGCTTCTGTTGATTTTCTTCAAGAGGCAGAGACTATCATTCTTCTCATTTGGATTTCAATCAATCCCTTTTTCCACCAGACTCACATTGGTTTCAGGGGAAATTCATTTTTGCAAGAATTGAGGCCTTGACTTTACTAATTTTAAATTTGTAGTGATTTTAATAGACCAGAATCAGGTTTGCATGATATTTATCTCAGTTCCTGCAATAGGTTCCCTATGGCTGGACTCCTCCCTTTCCATCAAGTAGCACAGGTCTAAGGGGCTTTTCCAAAGCCTAAGGGTCACCTGGGAGAAAAAGCACACAGAAGGAACATGACAGACCTCAGTCTTGCCAGAACAACATCATTGTCTTGAATGGGAATTGTCTGTGGATCTAGAGCATGGAACCAGGTCCCATTTGGTCTTAATCTGGACTTCAATAGTTCACTAGGATGTAAAGGCAGATCAAACACACCCATGTGATTTCATAAAACTGCACATAGAAAATACAAACCAACACTTCAGGCATATAAAAATTGACTGGCATTTAGTTTTAGTCGCCGAAAATATCTGGAAACTAAAAAATAAAAAGGTAGAAGATTAATGACTATAAAATATTAAAGAGCTAAGTTTGGGGACAGTGAGACACAACATGATTGAAAAGTGTTACGCAGAATACAATATAAATACATAAGACTGAATGCAGCAACAAGTTGAAATTAACTGCAATTAAAGACAAAAAAAATCTTTTTTATTTTGAGAATTAATGACCAGACATTGTTTGAAAAGAAAAAGACATTATATTCTCAGTAACTCAAATGACTGAAGAGATACCTCAATATTATCTTGTTACAGAAATAGGAAAACTGATGGAAATATAGAAAACTTTTTTTTAAAAAAAACACCTAAGTGATTGTGCTGTGCTCATTGTTTGGCCCAGCCACCAGGGGCTCTTTAAACTTGCCTCTTTTCTATGTGCCAGGCTTGAGTGAGGTCTGTGGCATTGGCCCAGCCATTTAAGCTAAGGGCCATGTTGTAACAAAAATGGTTGTTCCTTTACACCACATGCACTAGGTGCTTGGTTGTTACATATTCAAGTGACAGAAAAAGACACAAGGAAAAATTAACCTAGCTCCTCTATGGTAAGTAGAAGCCTGCTGTTCCAAAACATGCATTGATTGGTCTAAAGTACTTTTAAGTCTTAAAAAAAAAAAAAAAAAAAAAAAAAAAAAAAAAAAAAAAAAAAAAAAANCCCAAACAAACAGAAGGGAACATTTTTAGGACATGTCTGTGTAACTGCATACATTTGCTTATGATTAGAATTCATGAACTGAATAAACTTTTTATGATTTAGGGAATTAAAGCACTCTAGAAGGATTTAAAAAAATATTTTTTATCATAAGAAGCTATGAATTCTGGATAAAATAAAAATAGCTTTTTTGAGACAGTGGTTAGATGAGTACTTTGTAATGAAGGCTTTGGTTCAGTGTCTTTCTTTTACAAAGCTGGAGAAATCAGTGGAATGCTTTGGCAGTTGTCAGTGGAATGATTGACATTTTTCTTTATTTAAGATAGTGGAAATCCTGTACTCCATTTCAGAACAGCTATGGAAGGATGGGTTGAGGCAAAGTTGGTGAGTCAAGTGATGTCTACTGTCAGTCCAAATGATTGAACTGAAAAACACAAACAAACTTTGTGGTATGGAAGACCTGAGGAAAATCACATGCACAAAGCCTTTTTTTCTCCAGCTACATGATTTATGATAATAAAAGGTACCACTTTCCCCTACGAACCTTATCTCTTATGTCCTTACACCTTAACAGCTTCAACAACATTGCCATTACTGAAGTATGTGCACTGCATGGAGAACAAAAGGTAAAAGACTGAAGATCAAGCAAAGAAGCAAATAGCATTAAATCAAAGGAAAAATAAAAATGTGGGAAATATTTTTTTAAATACCAAGGTATATTCTATGAGTTTGAAAATTTTTGGATATATTTGAATAGCCATTTGGCACTATTTATTGCCACAGAAATAACTATGATTTTAAATTTTAAAATGGAACTTTTTTTCTTAGTTAGGAAATGTTGGCAATTTGTTATAAAAATATCAAATGCTTCAAGTTCTGGTCATTAAATCTTTGTTTTCCCTCACAGGATCATTAATTAAACTGACAAATGCAATAACTGAAGTTCTGCAAATAAAAAAAAAAACAAAACCATCATGATTTATACCACAGATAAACTAAAATACTGAAGTCCTTAATTAACAGATATACTCATGAGCTTTTTAACAGAAAGCAAGGTACGTGAGATGCTTTAAGTAGAAGTTGCAATTTTGCAACATAAGTCTGTACAAAACCTCCAGACAGCACGCTGTGAAGGAAGTACCTGTGTCCCAGGAAATGCTTTTTCCATAAACCCTTGTTAACAGTAGCTTTCCCCAACCCCAAACTATTTACAAGTATATGCATTTTGCAAGCTCAAAGCACCTTATTTCACATCCTTATGAATGCATGCATTGACATTTCATCCTTTCATGTGCAAATTCTAAAATTCATTGTAACTGAGGGGAAAAAAAAAGTTAAAAGAGTTCAATACCTGTCTACAATCATAAGTGAAAGGATCAAAAATGTCAGATGTTGCAGACCAGTGACTCCTAATAAAGCTCTCTTTATTGTATTCACCATTCTTGAGTAATTTTTCCCTGTTTTTTTTCAGTTTGTTACAAAAGCAGTCTTTTTTTTTTTTTAATTAAACAGTATTTAAACTAAACAACTCTTCATGCCATGCAAAAATAACATTTTATGCACTTTTGTTGAGGCTTTCCATGTTTTAGTTCATAGGCATTACTAAATGTGTTTTAAGAAAAGGTATTTTTATTGCTTCTGTAACTAGTCACATGCTAGTTTCACGTGTAGGACAATAACCAGTTTCTCCTGGACTTGAATGAATTTCTGGAGCAAATAAATGGTTTTCCATTTTGTGGCCTTCTTGGTTACTGTCTGGCTTTACCTCACCCACAGCATGGTAAATGTCTTGAGTACAGTTGTGGCTCATGCTTTTGGGTGAAGAGCTGACCTGTGGCTCCCCTGTTAAATTGTTGCCATCACTGTGTTTATCCCCACAGCAATTTGTCTTGATATCCTGTTTTTTCTCATGTTTCATACCATGTAACTCCATAAATTCTTCTTCTCCAGTGTCTATTTCAGTGAAGCTCCTCCTCTCTTTAGAAGGGAAAGTGAAAATTTTTTGTTTGGGAAAGAGAGGGGATGATTTTTTAGCAGGTCCTTGACAAAGTGCAGGTGCATCAGCACCAAGTACAGGCCGTTCACCTTGGGGGGAGTTTTCTTCTAGGAGAATGGTGCTGATGTGCTGAGCAGTGGCCTGTGTGAAGTCTGCTCCTGCTGTCACTGGCAGTGGCCTTGCGGTGCTCGGTGGAGTTTGTGGAGCACCACCTCTATTGTCTTTAAAATTAACTTTAAGGGATCTAGATTTTAATGGGTTGCTACCTTTCAGGGAGCTTTTGGGGCTTTCCATGGCAGAGTCAAAAGGAAAATGACCATGTGAAACAGTTTGGGACCCACTGCCATCACTGATAACAGCTCTGTTGATTGGATTGTAGTCAAAGGTGACATCAGTTGGAGAAAATCCTCTGTCTTTTGCAAATGGTATAAACTGAGAACTTCTTGCTCTTTGGTTTTCTTCCAGGTTAACAGCATCAGTTGGAAATCTCATTTGCAAGTGAGAGCCAGGAAACAGAGAGAGCGGAGACCTCTCTGTTTCCGTGAAGTCAGTTGCACAACTGGCAAAACTGTCAATACTGGATGTGCTTCTCATGTCCATTACGATGTCCGCAGGCCCCGTCGGCAGTGGATCTCTCTGACCTATAACTTCTTCCATTTCTATTTCTTCCTCATAACTGGGTGGCTTTGCTGACTGGTCTTGGTAACCAGCATTAAGATTAGGCTGAGACTGGGTTTTAGTAATTTCATTATACAGCATTTCCAGTTTTTGAGCACTCAGGTGCTGTGGGCTGGAGGATGCTGCAGCATTGTTTAATTGCTCATGGGAGTCTTGTTGACTAACTTCTTGGTACTTGTTTTCATAAGATTTGTTTGAGCTTGTTTCAGACATTGTCCTTCTGGCCCATTTCCACCTGCTTGGGGACAGGTGGCTGTTATCAGGTGTCTCCTTTGGACTGAGTGGTTCTCCAAGCTTTCCTGAATCTACTGCTACATCTATCATTTCCATACTGCGAGCAAAAGCATCTTTCAAATTCATGGAGACAATACTGCCATTTCTTTTAGCTCGCTCAAGTGCTTCTCTCCTCTTAATTGCTTTCTCCTGTCTTTTCTGCTCCTTATAAAATTCTGAGAAATTGTTCACAATAATTGGTATAGGCAGGGCTATGACCAGCACTCCAGCAATACAGCAAAGTCCTCCAACTATTTTACCTAATAAGGTCTTAGGATAAATGTCACCATATCCTACAGTAGTCATAGTGATTGTTGCCCACCAGAATGATGCAGGAATACTTGTAAATTTTGTAGCATCCTCATCCTTTTCAGCAAAGAATACAAGACTTGAAAATATCATTATACCCATGGCTAAAAATAATATCAACAAGCCCAATTCATTGTAACTACGCCTGAGTGTAAAGCCTAAAGACTGAAGGCCTGTTGAATGTCTGGCGAGCTTAAGAATCCTTAGGATCCTCATAATTCGAAATATCTGAACCACACGTCTGACATTTTGGAATTGCAGGACACTTTTATTGGACTCTGTGAGGAAAATGGTGACATAGTACGGCAAGATAGCCAGTAAGTCAATGACATTTAATGGGCCTTTGAAGAACTTCCACTTATTTGGTGAAGACAGAAAACGCAAAAGATACTCCATGGTAAACCAAGCAATGCACACAGCTTCAACGTGTGCTAGCTGAGGGTTGTCATTTGGCTGCCCAAATTCATCTATTTCTTGAAGTTCTGGCAGTGTGTTAAGAGACAAAGCAATAGTGGACAGGACGATGAACAGAATGGACACAATGGCCAAAATCTGTAAAACAAAATAAAAAATGTTTTGGTTAGACTGATACAAGTGTACTTGTCAAGGTTTGATTAAATCCTTTCAAATGAATGTCTGTCTGATTAAATCCTTTCAAATGCATGTGTGTCAAATAAACACAGAATGGTCAAAGCTGTTTTCACGGCTGCATTCATTATTTTGTTTTATTGTTTTGAATTTTGCACAGACAAAACATTAGACTCATCTTAGACATGGTCAAAAACCTGATTGCTTTACTGCCTGCAGGAAGCAAATTCATTTCAGAAAGCTGGCCATGACTGGTCACACGACTGGTCATAATTTTAAATTACAATAGGAGGTGATGTTTATTAGCGCAAGTCACCAAGTGGAAGATATATAGTTTCTGCTAATGTGCAGAATATTTTTAATTTTCTGCATTAATTGTAATTATGTAAAACTTTACATAGCGTAGATAATTGACTGGGGAATACCATGTGTAAGATGGTAATTCAGTACTACAGTGCACACTTTCCTAGACAGGCATAAATTTATGAACTGAAAAGTCAAGAAAAATAAACATGAAGCAGTATTCAGGAGACTAGTCCTGCTGAATTTTCATGTCTGAACAAATTTCAGATGTTTCAAGAATTGAAGTTATTGGTCCTGAATTAGGTTGAGGGCAAGATTTTAAAAAGTAGTATGAGGGTGAACTGAGTTTTGCATAATTATTAAAACATGTAAGTAGACAAAGGCTTCCAAGAAATAAAGTTTTGCTTTCTGTCTAAGGAGACAGGTTTTATAATATATTACGTCACACACTTTTACAGAATCTTAGAATCACAGAATGACAGAATCATAGAAACATTGATGTTGGAAGAGATCTCCAAAACCCTCAAATCTAGTGTTTGACTGAACACCACCATGCCAACTAAACCATACCATTAAGTGCCACACCACTTTCTTGAATGCTTTGAGACTTTCTTACTCTTTAGGCAGCCATTCAAATGCCAGCCATTCAAATGACAAGCCTTTGAGTGAAGAAATTCTTCCTGATGTTCAACCTGAACCTCCCCTGGCACAGCTTGAGGCCAAATCCTTTCATCATGCCACTGGTTGCCTGGAAGAACAGGCTGACCTCCACATGGCTACAGCCTCCTTTCAGGCAGTTGTAGAGAGCTGTCTCTCCTCAGCCTCCTTTTTTTCCAGGCTAAACAACTCCAGCTCCCTCAGCTGCTCATTGTATCACTTGTGAGCTGCTCCGTGCTCCAGACCCTCCATCAGCTTTGGGGCCCTTCTCTGGACACACTCCAGCACCTCAAAGTCCTTCTTGTAGTGAGGGACCTAGACCTAAATGCAGGACTTGAGGTGCGGCCTCACCAGTGCCAAGTACAGGGGGATGATTAATTGCTGCCCTGGTCCTGCTGGTCACACTATTCCTGATACAAGCCAGGATGCCACTGGTGGTCTTGGCCACCAGGGCACACTGCTGGCTCATGTTCAGCCAGATACTGAGTAGCACTCCCAGGCTTTCTACCACTGGTCAACTTTCCAGCCACCCTTTCCCAAGTCTGTAGCTCTACATGGGGTTGTTGTGACCAAAGTGCAGGACCCAGCACTTTGTCTTGTTTAACCTCATAGAGCTGTCTTGGCCCATTGATTCAGGTTGTTCACATCCCTTTGCAGAGCCTTCCTGCCCTCCCACAGCAGATCAACATGCCTGCCCAACATTGTGCTGTCTGCAAACTAACTGAGGCTGCACTCAATCCCCTCATACAGATCATGAACAAAATTATTAAACAGGACTGGCCTCAATACTGAGCTTTGGGAAGCCCCACTAGTAACCAGATGCCAGCTGGATGCAGCACCTTGCACCACTCCCTGGACCCAGCCATCCAGCCACTCCTGAACCTACTGAAGAGTGCTCCTGCCCAAGCTGTGGGCTGCCAGTTTTGGAGAATGCTGTAGGAAACAGTATCAAGCACTTTACTAAAGTCCAGGTAGACAGCATCCACAGCCTTTTCCTCATCCACTAGGCAGGTCTCCTGGTCATAAAAAAAGATCAGGTTGGTCAGACAGGACCTGCCTTTCCTAAACCCATTGTGGCTAGGCCTGATCTCCTGATTGTCCTGTTCGTGGTGTGTGTGATTAAGATAATCTGTCCCACAGCCTTCCCCAGCATCGAGGTCAGGCTGAGAGGCCTGTAGTTCCCTTGACCACTCTTCTGACCCTTCTTGCACATGTATGTCACATTGGCCAACCTGCAATTGTCTGTTCTTGAGCTCTACACAGTTGAAACACTTCCTAACATATCCACTCCAGAACTCTCCTTCTTCATCTGCTCCTTCTGAAGAACTTATAACCATCCATTGCCACTCTCCATTCTCATGAGTGTTCCCACCATGTTTCTGTGGTGGCAACCACATCACAGCTCTCCTGCTGCACGATGGCTTCCAGCTCCTCCTGTTTGCTACCCCAACTGTGTTCAGCCGTGCACAGGCACTTCAGGTGGGCTGTTGATTTCACCCCCAGCACTGGCATGCTCCCCCCAGGCTCATCTCTATTCTCTTTCCCCTTCAAACCTAGTTTCAAACCTAATTTAAAGCCCTCTCAATCAGTCCTGCTACAATCCTTTTCCCCCCTTTCCCCCCTATCTGTCTCCAGCAGGCATTCTGTATAAGTTGCCCTATGACAGAAAAAAGACATTTTTATAAAGTCCAGGCATCTCTGTACCTCACAGCCTTCCACTTTGCCTGGAACAGCTGGTCATTGTCTTTTACAGAACTAATATTATGAGAAAAAAAAACAATATCAGTGAATCTCACAGCTTTACCAGAAAGTTTATTTATTTATACCCTAAGCAATATGACCAACTTTGAGACAGTGAGCAAAGTGTTAAAATAATAAAAAAATATTATAACACTTGGAAAAAATATATTGTTTTGGTTGGAAGTCCTAATTAAATCCAGGTTTTTATTAGAAATACTAAAATAATTTGCTTTCTGCTTTAAAGATCAGTTTAAGCTCATTCATAAAAGCATTTACTTTCATTTCTCAGAAATGTTAAATCCATTTGGTGATGTTCCAAGGATGCATTAGGTCTGACAGAATTGTTGGAACACCCAAGTGTGAAGTGAAGCTAAGAAGAATGCAAGTGTGAAGATTGTATGCAGAGAGACTGGTCACAGTGGTGATAGAGGCTCTAGAGATAGAAAGGCCACCTCACTGTAGCTTTGAGAAAAATAGCAATAAACTTGTTTCATCTATCAGTTGCCAAGTGGATATTCAGCTCTCTAAGCACAAACAGAAACTGCTCATGGTATTTGTCATTTGTACTTGTACTTGTACATTTGTATTGTGTATTTGGCATTATGTTGTACTTATGTACTATCTTTGGCCTTTGTCAGCTACTAACAATATAGAACAGGTATACAGATATCACCTTATGTTCTGAAGTATTGAAACATATTTATTTGATTTTTTCTCTACCAGTTCTGCTTCTGTCTTTTTTTTTCTCTTTTTTTTTTTTCCTTTTTTTTTTTTTTTTTTTTTTTTTTTTTTTTTTTTTTTTTTTTTTTTTTTTTTTTTGGTAATTCTAATTATTGGAGAAATAAGATCCATTCATTTCTCCTGCCAAATAAGTTATGGACCATCTGTCTTCATCCTTTGTACAGTCCATTCAGAAAGCATCCTTAGGTTAATCTATCCTATTTAGGTGGGCTATACATTCCTATAAAACTTCTGTTACCAACATCAACAAAAGAAGCCAATTATAGTAAAGAATGAGGGCAATAACAGTGCATAAGTAGGCACAGCTGATTAATGAAATTTGTAGCTAGGACTTAGGCAGACAAAAGACAACACTATAAGAGAGCAATAATTACCTTTCAAACTGTGAAAGTTGCCTGTATCAGATTTCTGTATTAAAGTTGGAAACTTAAAAAAGGTGTACTGGCTTATCCACTTCACCTAAATGACTGTGAAATTGCTAATGCAGGCTTGACTTCTCTAAAATACTCAATAGCATAATTATACTTTCAGAATTTACAGAATAAATGAACAGGGCACAGGTCTGAATAGTTGAGCGTGCAGTTTCTGTCAAGCTGATGGAGCCTCATTGGGGCCAGAATCAGAATGCAAGTAACAGGATTGGAAAAAGCCGTATAATACCAGGACCCAATTACTGACGTGCATTGTTCTTAAAAAAAAAAAAAAATTGTAATAATGTATCTGTCCAACTATCATCAAACTGATTTTAATTAGAAAACACTGGGATTTCAGTCTGTCATAAATGTCTACCAATATACAAAAGATCCTAGAAAAGAGGTGAGCTAGTGAATAGCACCCCCTCTCTTGTCCTGTGTGACATTTCTAAAACTCCATGCACTTTGTAGGCCTTGAACACAAAATTTCCATGTTTCCAGTTGCCACCCAGGGTGTTTTATTGAAAACAAGCATCTATGTTCTTGTTCCAGCCATTCATTCATGTGCTGCTAACACACAAGCCTGAAATCTCCCAGCTCTTTCAATAAAATATGCACTACAGCAAGCCTGGAACCTTAAGTGATTTATAAAAATAATCTATAAGCATGAGTCTGTTCTTTGTGAAAAAAAAAATTACAGCAAAGTAAAGTAGTTTAGTTTCTTCTAATGTAAGAATCTCAAGCTTTTATTTGTCTGGGACTTTGTTGTGTAATTAAAGCCGTGCATCATTCCACACACAGTATGTTTTAATTATTGCAATTGATTAGATTTCACAACTCATTAGGCAAAAAAAATGCTGGGGAAAAACTTGGAAGAACAAGAGCAGCTATGAGAAAAAGAAGAAGAAAAAAAGAACTCCATATTCTGAGTCTACATAAAGAATGCTTTGCAGCATATGATGGTAAATTTTCATAGAACAGATGCAGATTGTACTAAGAGAAGCACAGAATTTATAAGAAAGACTTGTAGCAAACTGCTAGGTTCGTTATGCTGATACAGAAGAGTAAAGAAACCACCACTGACTGAATTTTTTCCAGCAGAACTTTCTG